CCCACCACAGAGTGCTGGTGAACCGAGAGCCACCTCCTAGCATGCCAGAGACACCAACAGTTCCACCCCACCAGAAGGAACTGTACACTCCGGCAACGACGGAGACCTTCCAACAGCGTAGAGCCAGAGTGGATCGACAAGAAACACTCTCCCTCTACCAACCAGCCACCGGCAGAGTCCGATATGGACCAAACAGAGAGGTGTTTGACAGCACCCGGGCAACCACCAGCCCATACACCAGGCCCACGGCACCAGATCCCGAAGAAGCACTCACGTTGAGCACCTTCGATACAGATCTGGCCAAAGCGGACCAACTGACACTACCACCCGGATGGACCCTGGAGAATGGTTTCCTCACTTTGGAGGACCCCAGGGACGAATGGACCTTGCAGAACGACAAGCTCATCCGGAAACATTATGAACCACGAGACACCACGTTTGATCCAAGTCATCCCACCAATGGTTGTCCGCTACCGCTGCACTACCTGAGCAAAGATAGAATCACCAGAGCAGCTGGCCTATGACCGCTGGAAACAACAAAAGGACAGAACAACACCACACACCTGGACAGGCCAGACGATCTTTAAGATCCTTCCAGCATACCGCCGACTGGCGATGGACATGTTCTACAACATCAGCGGAGGACACGCCTCCTACATCGAGCCAACAGCACCAGAACAGGTCCTAGAGACCGCAGACAAAGCAAACACCAAAGCACCCGGCCCCAAGGCCAAAGCAAGAAAAGACCAGCTCAGTGAACGACACATGAGCTTGGCAGACCGCATGGCGTTCATGGAAGCCAAGCGAAAGGAGCTTGAAAGTTTTTTCAACATGATGTTTGGGAAATGGTGCAAAACGATGGCGCGATCCCGGCTGACCGCATCCTCAAAGCCCACTTCATTCTCAAGTGGTCAAAGTTGCCAAATGGTGAACCAAGGGCGAAGGCACGCCTGATCACCCAAGGCTTCAGAGATCCAGACGCTTTGTCCGGAGCCCTCAGCACGGACTCGCCCACGCTTTCCCGCATGGGAAGAAACTTCATCCTGAGCATCGCAGCCAATACTGGCTGGACCACCTTCAGCGCCGACGTCAGCACGGCCTTCTTGCAGGGCAAGGAACACCCCACCCACAGAACACTGTGGATTCAGCTTCCAGCTGACGCCCGCCGAATGCTCGGCATGGACAAGCACCACGACAGCACATCGTTGATGCAGCTTCGGAAACCCATGTACGGTTTGTGTGATGCACCAAGAGCTTGGTATACCGAAGCTCGTGAGCGGATCACCAAGTTGGGAGCAGTAGTTCATCCGCTCGATCCCTGTCTCTTCCTGGTCCACGACCATGAAGCACCCGAAGACCAATGGACCAGCCAGACAGACGACAATGGGAACACAGTTCGGCATGCTCCACTCTCCGGCCTATTCGGCCTTCACGTGGACGACATCCTAGGCACCGGCAACATGGAATGCCCCTCCTTCCAAAAGTTCAGTCAATGCCTGAAGAAGACCTTCAACTTCAGGACATGGGAGGAGAACTGTGACATGGACTACTGTGGAGCCAAGATCCACCGGATCAATGAGCACCACTACGAGCACCTACCTGGAGAAGCAAAAGCCCATTTCGTTTGAGAAGGCTCCAACAGAACAGGCAGTTTCTGAGAAGCAACGCACTGTGCTTCGTGGAATGGTTGGAGCATTGCAATGGCCATCAACACAGAGCAGCCCGCACCTGCAAGCAATGACAAGTCAGCTAGCAGGCATGGTGAGCAAAGCAACAGTTGGTACGTTGCAAGAAGCAAACAGGTGTTTGAGGTTTGCAAAACAGTACAGTGATGTTGGTTTGAAGTTTGAAGGGCCCGGCAGCTGCACAGAATTGACATTTGTTGCTTACAGCGATGCAGCCTTTGCATCGAGAGCTGATCTCACATCGCAAGGGGGTCATCTCATCATGATGACCAACCATGGAGTCACCCAAGGCCAAGAAGGTCAGTATCATCTGATCGATTGGCGCTCCTGGAAGCTACCCCGCGTGTCGAGGTCAAGCTTGGCAGCTGAAAGTCAAGCGGCGTCCGAAGCCTCGGACGCATTGCTGTACACCTCAGTATTTTGGAAGTTGATTTGGTCACCCTTCCTGGCGCTCGAGGACAGCAAGACCCCAAAGTTGAAGCATCCACCACGGTTGGTGGTTGATGCCAAAGCATTGTACGACCTGTTGGTCAAGCAGGATTTGCAGACAGCCTCCCAAGCCGACAAACAGACCAGCATCGAAGTCCTGGTTACCAGAGACAAGCTTTCCTGCACAGGTGCTACCACAGCTTGGGTGTCGAGCGAACTGCAGTACGCTGACGGCATGACAAAGCAAGCCGCAGCCGGCCTCCTCGCTCAAAGGCTCAGAAGCCACACCACGTGTTTGCGACCGGACGCAAGCTTCACAGCTTCAAAGAAGAAGAGCTTGGACCAGCGGCGCTTGAACCAGATGCGCTACGCAGTTCCCAAGTCCAAAGAGCTGCTGAACGCAGCCATGTTTGTCACTCTAGCTACCACCTCCACTGCGCACTCAGCCAGGAGAGACTGAACCGCCTCCTTTGGTTCAGCTCGAGGAAAACTATGCCCAGACCGACGAAGACCGCCCTCTGCTCACCTTGGTACAGTTGAGGCGCCGAGAGCGCGAATTGGAAAATGAGATTTCCGACCTGAAGTAGCAGCTTTTGTGGGTGAACACCAAGCACAAGGACATGTACAACAAGATGAACAGAAAGCTGCAAGGTATGGTCGAAGTCCACAACCTCCAATTTGAGCAAATGCGGCTTCGCTACGAGAAGGAGCTCAAAGAGCGCACTCGCAGCCGCCCTCGAAATGCTGTCGGCAGAGACATCTACCGAACAGAGGCAGGTGAATGCTGGCATTCCTCCTTCACATGTGCCCGTGGTCGAACAGCAGCCATCACCTACACTCTCCGACCTTGCAAAGTTTGTGCTAGCAAGCTTGGAGAGGACCTGCTGTTTGAGGCGGACGAGAGCTTTGACCCGTCTTCCTCTTCCACCAGTGTGAATGTCACTCCATGACATGGACTGAGGTTGACCAAGGAACGTCCGCTGCTTGGCACGAACCCTTTTGCCACCTCCACTCGCGACCTCCTAAGATGGGAGGGACCGCTTGAGCACCTCGAGCCATGCCTACGTTGGCGTGAAAAGGACGCGCCACCTGTTTTGAGAGAGAGCGACACTTCGTGCGGTTGTTCTTGGATTGGTTGCAGTTTGTTGCTACCTTCAAAGTAGGCTATATGCGTCTGAAGGTGCGGGTTCTCAAAGACAAGAATCTAAGAAGGTTCAAAAGGAAGAAGCATGTTTCACCATCTATGGGGGCCGATTTGAGCTTCGCGGAGCCTGGCGAAAATAAAGACTTTTGACCGGGCTCTATGTTTTCCAGGGACCTGTCAAGACCAAATTGATCTAAACTGTGTGAGCCTGTCGGGGCTTGCGAAGGGCAAATGCTGGAAAAGGTGCAGGATTCCTAATTTTAGAGCAGTCGAACACATGGTCCTCCGCCCCACATCCAAGCTCTATATACATTCTACATGCGGGGATCGCCGCAAGGTGATTGGCAAACACCGAAAATGCCGAAGTAGCCCCTCAGCACTAAAGAGGAGGCCTGTATCACTATGCCTGCAAAGTGCTTCCACAGCTCGCAGTAACGGAAGATGCTCTGGTGATCTCTGGTGTTGTTTAGTTGGCTTTGGTCCCCGCAAAATGGCGCGACTGTTGCTTTTTTTGATGTCTTGATGGTCTTGATTGGTTTGAGCCTGGTATGTGCATTCAGGACTTGCATTATATAATTTCTTGATTGTTCATGTGTGTTAAGATGGCGTCAAAGATCTCTGATCTTGGTTTCATAGTGAGCTACTATCGCACACAAATCTCTAGAGTCTCTAGAGTTTCACAAAGAAATCTTCAATGAATAGGCCAAGGAAAGAAGCAAGCTGGAAAAAATAGACATGAAAAAGGAGCACCCAAATTTCACTTCCTATCGATTCCGGTCATATGGTCCTATAGCCTACTGCTTCCTACAAAAAATAGGGAAACCAAGAGGATTTAGGATTAGGAGGGTAGTTTGGGGTGAGGGGCCGAGGAGGGGTCAAGAGGGCGATGTAGGGAGAATGAGAATTGTGTTGTTTTCTTTCTCGAAGGATTGAAAAATAAGCTTGGAAATAGGACCTGAACAAGGTCTGGTCCAAAGCCTAAATCAAATTTTATCATGTATCCTATCCTATGCCTAGGCTTTCCAATTTTGAGTTTTTCTTTCCGCTTGCCATCACAACCCAAATGTGTACTGCGAACAGCGGTGATGTTCAATTAAACTATGTCCGGGAAGGCGCATATACAGTATGCCAACCAACTAGTAGACAAACGTGCGACGACAAAGCAAAGAGTCACAATTCAATGTGCACCTGTTGACCCGAAGGCAGCACAGAATCCAGATCTACTCTCTGGGTACAGAAATATGATGCCAAGTTGGAGATGCCTTTTCCGGACGTGGAGCAGCGAGTCCAAGACATGGTCCACATTCAGACCGTTCACTGCATCCTCAGTGCGCTTCACACCGCAGCTGCATCGAACCAGTATTATTCCATGAAACCTGGCATCCTGCCACACCCTGCCTCCGACTTTCTCTTTTTGGCTGGAGGAGCTGTCTTCTCGTTTTGCAGCTCAGCCATCTTCCTGCAACTCTCAACTTACACTAGTCACTAGAGCCTTGGCCTGTCCACTTGGAACCAGCCTTTGCCGCCAGCGTCGGCAAGGAGGCTCCGCTTGAGCCAAATGCCACGTAAAGAGGCAGTTATGATGCTTAGCTCCAAATCTCGTTATCAGGGTGTAACATCTTCTTAATGATTGATGAGATCAAACAAAAAAGGCTGAAGGCATTGGCACAGCCGCTGCATCTTGATGCCGATGCATAATTACATACAATATAAATGTGTCTCAAGCTGGCTGAGGTGTCGGCCCTGCTTGTAGCAGCTGTAAGTGTATGTCTCAGAGGGGTGACATGAGTACACGTGTCCAGCCGATGTCCACAAGCAACTGTGTTTTTCACTGTGCACGGTTTCTGTATGGTCCAACATCTCAGCTTGGGCCAGAACTATGCTGGACAGCAAGTTCGACTGGGCAAAGCGGAAAGTTGCCAGCAATTACCAAAAACATGTTGCGGATGAAACATCCTGCAGTAGGTGGGCACAATGGGCCACACTGTTCTCTTGGCGGTTGCTATGGGTTCAGTGCTCCCACCGCATCTCCGTAGAATTGTTGGACCAACCACTGCAGGTACATGTCAATGTGCAGATCAGCGACTGGGTCTGAGAAGTCTGTTGTGTCGGAGAAGTCGACCACAATAGCCCGGTCCCTGGAATTGTCACGATTCATTCAATCTTGAAGTGCAGAAGCATGCAAATTCACCACTGCTGCAGTATAATAGTGGTACTTTTCCATTGAGAGCCGAGCCTTCTGCTTGAAAATCCGTTTCCACCATAGTAAGTCACGGAGAGTCCTCCTAGAACCTGGAAAGTGTCTGCCCAGCAAAAGGTACCATTTCCCAGCTATAAACATTGGAGGGGCACCACTTTGACCTCGGCACTGACCACGTTCTGCAACACTACGACGGAGGTGCCATTGGTGATATTCACCTGAAAGGAGTGGCTGGCCCTAGATGTGCGTCACTTTTGCACAAAGAAGGGCAACAAGGTGCTGAAACATGTCTTGGATAGTGGCATCCTTAGACGGTCTGAGTACTGCATGTACAGTAAATGAATTGAAAAGAAAACCCGTTCTAAAATAGTTATCCCAGGTTGAAATCACAGCAATTCCAAGCGGTGGCCATCATGCACCCAACATGCGCCCATGTATATGGTTGTATGTTGTGTATGCCCTTTTAACAGCCGCGTTCTTACTTTCAGAGTCCAATGGTTCCAAATGTGAAGCTGAAAGTAGCCATCCTCTTGCACGCAGAAACAAATTGCCAAGACTATACACCCTGGAAAGCACTTGGACAAGTGGTCAAAGTTGCGAAGGGGTCTAGCGCGGATCTAGCGCGGGTCTAGCGCGGATCTAGCGCGCTTCCCTGCCAGTGCATGAGGCCACCAAACGTCTGTGATCAAGAACTCGCTTTCGTGTGTGTGTGTGTATGTGCACCAATGAGTGACCGTTACAATCAGCTCTTGTTTGTTAATCTTTTCTAAGTTACCTAAGTACTTGATCCTAGCGCCAAACCTAGCGCGAACCTAGCGCAACCCTGCGTTTTGCTAGCGCGACGAGGTAACATACCCACTTTAAACACCAGAATACCAAGCGGTGGCCAAGCGATTTCTGAACCTCTGTGAACATTCCTTACTTAATACATATTCCCGTTTTTTTCCAACTCAAATGTATACTGTATCAGTTCTTGTTTTCTTCAATGTCAGCCTCTGGAAAAATGCATTGAATATCATTGAATTAAGTGCAGTGATTTCGGTTGTCTACTGAATTCGGATGATCCTTGCACCGGCATGTGCAGGATTTGCCATTAGTGGCCCTCATGGACCTTCTACAGCCTAAGTCCACGTCACCTTCTAGGCACTTTGCCTTGCCTACAATGCCTACAGCCCCACGGCCATCTAGTGGCTGTGTGACTGTGTCCTACTATCTCCTAATTGGTACGGAAGAGAATCAGAATCGGTTTGTGGATCCTGGGGACACCCTGCATACCGCCCTTAACACATGGTGGTTGATCTAAATTCCTTCCTACGAAAACGCCGTTCACTTCAAAAAAACATCTTTACTCAATCCTAGAAGTCTTCTATTTCCACATATTGATCTTTCGCACACAGCATCTTTACTTTCGCGAACTCGGGAAACAACTTTCGCGAACAACATAAAAGGCTCTCGACGAACCTAGGCCTATGTCGACCTTTTGATCAACTACCACATGCAACAACTATCAAAATTTGATTGAACTGCAGAATCATCATCATCACTCGGCCACATGTCTGATTTAATGACCTTCAACCAGAACCAAGAAGTTACTGTATATCACAATATGTTTCTATGAGGTGGGCTCAGCTGGCAGGGCGAGAAAAGAGAAGTCAAAGAACACATTCAAAATTTTGGAGGACAGCCAAGAGACTGACTACACAACAGAGTGGACCTTAGAGTGGGCCAAAAAATAAAGCATCACCTGTAAGGATATAAACATGAGCATCCGTTTGCACTATTTTTCGGTCTGGCGTACAACATGAATGGTGGGTTTGGCTGACGCCCAACAGCTTGCGATGGGCACATTCTCGGGATGGAAGATGATAAAAATGAAAAAACGCCAGTCGTCCCGCTCACCTCCTCTCTCTCTCACACTCACTTCTCTGGCCTTTCCTATTGTTGGTGTTGTTCTCACTTTCTCTGCTTCTATGGTGTTCGGTTTTTTTCGTACATTCATTGTTTCCCGTCTTTCCTTCGCTTTTATTTTTTTCCTGGAAGGCACCTGCGAAGGTTTTCCTTCAAGAACGGCGACCAACTTCAACTGTCCAATCACAATCTTTATCATGGCCATCGGCACCACCATCATCATCATCCTCACCGTAAACACTAGCAGCATCATCACCATCACCACCATCATCATCATCATCATCATCATCAGCAGCAGCAGCATCACCTCATCATCATCATCATCATCATCATCATCATCATCATCAGCGCGTTTGCGTGAGTCTGTGCCATTCGGGGGAAGAAACGATGTTGGTGTAACTTCGGCGTGTCGCTGGGGAGCGGGATGGCTCGCGGTGTCCACGAGGCTTGGTGTTACATTGTTGTATCTAGCCTGTGGCACACCGTGTGGCGACATGACGTCTATGATGTCGCTGTGCAATTTGGTTTTGCACGGCCTCGGTCGGTGGCAGTGCTTTTGCCCGAGTGCGTGCCATTGGGGAACGAAAACATTCGGCGTGTCGCTGGGGAGTGGGGGTCATTGGCGGTGCTCACAAGGCTTGGTGTTACATTGTTGTATCTGGTCTCTGGCACACCGTGTGGCCAAATTCCATCTGTGTTTCTTTCTTTCTTTCTTTCTTTATTTCTGTTTTTCGTTCGTTCGTTCTTTCCTTCGTTCGTTCTTTCTTTCTTTCTATTTTCTTTTTTTGTAATAGTAATGTTCTGCTCTTTTCTTTTCATCTCTTCTGTTCTCTTTTCTCTTCTCTTCTCTCTTCTCTCTTCTCTCTTCTCTCGTCTCTCTTCTCTCTTCTCCTCTCCTCTTCTCTCTCTCTCTCTCTATCTCTCTCCCTCTGTGTGTGTCTGTCGTTCTCTCGTTCTTTCTTTCCTTCTTTGTTTTCTTTCTTTCCTTCTTTATTTATGTTTTTCTTTCTTTCTGTATACTGTATATATTTATTTGCTAATATACTTTTTTGGTCTATCTCTTTCTCTCTGTATCTCTGTCTCTCTGTCTGTCTGTCTGTCTGTCTGCCTGGCTGCCTGCCTGCCTGCCTGCCTGCCTGGCTCTCTTTCTGTCTTTCTCTCTTTCTCTCGTTCTTTATTTCTTTCTTTATTTATGTTTTTCTCTATTTCTTTCTTTACTTATTTCGTTCTTTCTTTCTTTCTTTCTTTCTTTCTCTCTCTCTCTCTCTCTCTGTTTCTCTCTTTCTCTCGTTCTCTCTTTCTTTCTTTCTTTCTTTCTTTCTGTATTTATGTCTTTCTTTCTGTATTTATGTCTTTCTTTCTGTCTCTCTTTCTCTGTTTCTCTGTTTCTCTCTTTCTGCCTTTCTCTCTTTCTCTCTTTCTCTCTTTCTATCGTTCTCTCTTTCTCTCGTTCTCTCGTTCTCTCGTTCTGTCTTTCGTTCTTTCTTTCTTTCTGTCTTTCTTTTTGGCTTTATCTCTTTCTCTCTTTCTCTCGTTCTCTATTGTCTTTCTGTCTTTCTTTATTTCTTTATTTTTTTTGTTCTTTCTTTCTTTCTTTCTTCCGTTCTTTCTTTCTTTCTTTCTTTCTTTCTTTCTTTCTTTCTCTCTTTCTCTCTTTCTCTCTTTCTCTCTTTCTCTCTTTCT